GGGGGGGGGGGGAGGGTGGGAAACCCCAAAAGGGGGGTGGTGGTAGGGGTGAAGGAAGGGGAAGCCCCCTCGCACAGGCGGCGTGCCCAGGGGCACGGCGAAGCCTGTTGTGCGGGGTCGCTGCGTCACGCCGGTCGCCCTGCGACCGGCGGCTTGAAAACCTAACTCAACCTAACCTCTGTGAAGTTAGCCGGACAACTTTAACTTTTTAACGTTTCATTATACTCAATCGATTGGTGGTCGTTTGGTGGTCATTGATTGCCTAATTGGAAAAATTTTTTTTTTTTTTCGCCGGATTCAGTTTTTCAAATGCTTAATCGATGCGTAATCGTTTGGTGGTCATTGGTGGCCGAATTACAATATTTGGTGGTACCACCGACTAGGTATAGAATAGACCTATCATCCAATGCTTTTTTCTGTCCCACGTTCATAGGGCCATGTAGCCCTGTTACCATTTTAGTGTCAATACCCGACGTTACCGATAAAGCATGAATTCTGAGTATTATTAGCACAAATGAAGTGTTATATATTCCATTCATATTACGTGTATCTATATGATTTCACGAGAATAAAAATATCCGATGCTTCAGTTGAAGGTTAAGGAATAAATATGACAGTCATGAAACATCCGTCGGGACTGGAAGCCAAGACTCCTTTCTAATACGTCTACTTTACAGTGAACGGACGGAAGAGAATCCCCGTTCACGACCATGGTCCTTTCGATGATTTTCCGACGTACCGAACACTCATGATCTGACAACATTGTACTTTAGACTTGACAACACTGTAGAAGTTAGACTAGTTGAACTCAAATGGATTTAACGTAGTTCACAAACTCACCGTTCTCATAACGTAGAGGGCAGCAGAAAATCCCTGACTTTTTACACTATCGGTATTTCAGAACATGAGACACGAAGTCCCATAAGATGATAGGTCTATCCTATACCTCGTCGGTGGTGGTACTTAGTTTCTATAAAAAAAACGAAAAAAACGATGTAGTCATCTGGCATTTCAGGATACAGGTGTACCAATGCACGTTTAAAGTCGATAAAACAAATATTTCTGGATGGATTGCCTTTTCGGATGAATCAATCGATCCAGAAATATCTGTTTTATCGACTGTAAACGTGCGTTCGTATACCTGTGTCCTGAAACTGCTAGATGACTACAATCGTTTTTTTCGTTTTTTATAGAAACTAAGTACCATCATTTCATGGTCGAGCAACATTTTTGTTACGCCCTGTATATCTCATAGCACAGGAAATAGGGGACATAGGCAGTGATGCCAGGACGTGGGATTTTTCCCACGCATGCGCACTACCTAATCCTCAGTAACGTATATACTTCACTCAAATATGGGGTATCGTTAGACCCCCGTGACAATTGAAATACGGTAGAAATTACAGGAAGAGGATATTTTTAAAAGAAATAACATATTTACATGGAAATAAATGAATATATATTTTTTTATTATTTTGTACATCTGCAGCCGATTTATTACATGAATACAAACATTTGTTGCGAGAGTAAGAAAAACTGCAGAAAACCTTACTAGTATTCAAACAAGAACATTATATATAAAACATATAGTCGTGCTTTCATCAATTAATATTGAAAATTTCTGAATTTTTAATTCTGTAATAAGCTTATCGCTTTCGCGTTTGCCTATTACATTTT